GAATGCCACGGTAATAGGCACAGAATTTGGAGGTTCTGTGTGGTATTTAGTTTAAATTGTCGCTTCTTAAACAGTTGCTTGGCGGCATAGCCAATGGGATGAATAAACATAGTGACAGATGAAAACAAGGCCAGGTGCTATGGACAAAGGAAATGAGAACAAGACTGATACACTGGGATGATGGTGATTGGCTCAGGGCTGGTGGTGAGGAATGAAGTTCAGCAAAAAGAGGATCCTCAGCAGATGGGCCGGCAGCAGCTGGAGTTGCAGCACCTGGGGCGACAGCAGGTAGGTTGGCAGCACACAGGCTGGCAGCACTGGGGTCTGCCGCAGCTGGACTCACAGCACCTGAGGCGGTAGCAGGTGGTCCTGCAGCAGGTGGTCTGGCAGCCGGTCTCCTGGCAGAGGCCTTGGCCACAGCCCTGGTCAGAGAAGACGGAGCCCCTGCAGGCGCTGACCATGGTGTCAGAGGGTGGAGGTTCTGGGTGGGGTTCCAGGAAAGGGAGGTTCTCAAATGGAAGTCTTCTCCCAAATCCTGTTTCATACTTTGCTGAGAAGCTGTTATCATCATGTCCAAGATTATTTTCTATTTGCTGTTTGTCATGTTTAAGGAGAAATTATCAGACATTCTGATTGTGGCATCTGGTTAGCTTTGGTATTTAAAACAGGTGCTTACACATATCTAATCATTTCTCTATCCCTAAAAAGCATTATTTGCCTTTCTTTTTTGTTTCAGCATCATCTCATCTATTACCTCTTACACTTTTCAAAGTGTGGCATTTGATATTCTTTGGCCTGACAACCGTTTAACTTCTTGCATCTAAAAGAGACATGGTAAGCCAGAAAGATAAAGAAAAATACCATACAATACCACTTATATGTGGAGTCTTAAAAAAAAATTAGGACACAAATGAACATATTTACAAAACAGAGACAGACTCACAAACATCGAAAACAAACATGATTACCAGGGGGAAAGGGGTTGGCAAGGATAAATTGGGAGTTCAGGATTTATAGATACTAATTATTATATATGAAGTAGATAAACAACAATTTCCTACTGTATAACACAGGGAACTATATTCAATACCTTGTAGTGGCCTATAATAAAAAAGAATATGGAAATGAATACGAATATCTCTAAATGAGTCACTATGCTGTACACCAGAAATTAACACAATATTGTAAATCAACTATACTTCAATTTAAAACAATGAAAAAATAAAAATAAAGGAAACACAGAGCCACAACTCCTTCTATGTCAATAATACTTTTTTTTAAAACATGGGAGAGGTAATTAGGTTTTTTTGTAATTTATTTGGTTTTTCAATGGAGATACTGGGTTTGAACCCAGGACCTCACGCATGCCAAGCATACACTCTACCACTGAGCTATACCCTCCCCACTGTGTTGACAATACTTAAAATAGTCACAAACATGGATAAGCTAATGCACCAAAAATCAGACCTCCATAAACTATAGCAAAATGACTGGTGGCAAAATCAGCACAGCACACTTGTAACTTAGGAAGAAGCTAAGAAATGTACTGGGTTTAAGGCACGTGGCTTCAAATTTACCTTGTTCAAAATAGAATTGGTTGTTCTGTCACTTTTCCAAATCAACATCCCAATGATTCAGTCCTAGTGCAAATTACTGCTAGCTCACATTTTCAAACTAGCGAACGAGTTCTCCTTCATGCAAGTAACCACCTATTGACTCTGTTAAGAGCCGTTCTCAGGACAGATACAGAAGTGAAAGCTATCCACCCCACCCTCCTTCTGCCCTGATTCCGTTCTGCCTCAATGTAGAGCCACAGATTATTTGACACAGTGAATTAGCAATGCCATTACCCGTGTGCTGGAATCTGCAAACGGGGTTTATCCAACTTTGCAGCCAAGATCAGGAAACCTCAGCAGCGGAGGCACCAAGAAGTTCACAGCCCCAGTTAAGTCAGAGCAAATGAAGCCATATCAGGAGTCACAGTGCAACCAACTGAAGAAAAATGCCCTTTCTTTCAAAAGGTTACAAATATAGACATTGCTAAGTATCCAAAATGTTATGCTTTGCTCCTCTGATGCATGTGAGGAAGTCATTGTTGTCCCTTTTGTTCCTGCATTTTAATACACTTACTGGTGATGGGGTCTTTTCGTTGGTTTATAACATTATGAGTCCTGTACATACAATACTATGTTTCAACTTCTGTGTCCACTACCACGTGATCACCATTGGAGGTTTCGTTTCAGTCTCCACCATACAGTTGCCTCCCCCTCTTACTCATTTTGCCCTCTCCCACTGCCTTTATTCTAAACTGCAATTCAAAGCAAAATATTTTAGTATCAAATTAACCGCTTTGCAACTTTTCTCTTTGATGCTAAATGTAAATATAGTGTCCCCGAGAGCAGAACTGTTGTTATCAGGTCTGTCAACAAGTTTCGGGTTCGGCATAGAAAAGCTTGTCTAGGACAGTCAGTTCTGTCCCCTATTGCAGGAAATGAGATACCTGTGTAGAGTAGCTTGCTACTAATAGATTTATCTATTGTTCAATTTTGTCTGACGCAGATGAAAACCTTTTTAAAATATGGTTTTAATTCCAAACATGTTAAAATCTGATTTGAATCCATCACTTTTGTTTCACCTGTCTTTAGAGGTGAGTCCCAATAGAAGTAGTGCCAAGGGAAAATACAGACAGTGAGAATGGCTGTGAACTCTTCTCCAAATTATGCTGAACTGACAGGTGACAAAAGGATGAACTCTGTCTTGAGAAATAATGATTCATAATTAAATCATGCTGTGGATGTTGGTGGCCTCTCCTATTTCTGGAAACAAGTTCTTACAGTTTAATATTAACGATTGGAAATTCTATTTTCAGAAGATTCATAATACTTAGGGACCACTTCCTCCTTAGGCAATTTCCCATGGGTCATGAAAAAAATGTTATAAATAACAACAAGGAAAATTCTGTCCTTGGTCCTAAATTTGGGAACCACAGTATAAAAGGTCTTGTACAGAAGACGATGTCAGATTCTGAGAAATTTATCTCTGCTCAGAAGCCAACCTTTCACACCTGACACCATGACCCACTCAGGCTGCT